CAAGCGTTGCAAACTTTAGCAGCGCAGACCGCCGCCTCAGCACAGCAGATTCAGCAGATGACGGAAGCAATTCGGCAGTCAGCTACAAGCAGTAGCGACAGAACCCAAGGAATGGCAAATCTGTTCGAACGTCTAGCCCAAACGGGAGAGCAGAGAGAGCAGAATCTCGTGGGAGCGCTTCAGAATGTGCTCCAGCAGTCCAGAACGGACATGGCACTCTCCCAGGAAGCCCTCAGTTCCCGAATCAAGGAAGTCTTTGAGCAGAGCCGGGAAAAGGGAGAGATCCAGCTTCACAAGCTGGTGAAGGCACCAGAAGCCTTCTCTCCGAGCACGTGGCAGGAAGAGCGCAATTCTTTTGGCGACTTTAAACATCGCCTTCGCACATGGCTTGGAGCAGTTGACACTGACATTCTCCAGCTGATGGACAAAGCGGAAAAGAATCCTGAGAAGGAATTCAAGTTTTCTTCTCTTACGTCCCAGGAACAGACCAATAGCAAGAAGCTCTACAGCATCCTGTCCAGCTACACCAAGAACCGCCCGCAGAGAGTGGTCACAACAGTCAAGGAAGAGAACGGCCTGGAAGCATACCGCCAACTTGTTTTCTTCAACCAGCCGAACACCAAGGCACGTTCTTTACAATTACATCGGGAAGTTATGGGTTTCCGCTTCGACAAGGACAAAACCTACAATGAGAACTTTCTGAAATTCGAGGAGTTGATCGACGAATATGAAAAAGCTAGCAAGGAAAAGACCTCAGACTCCTTCAAGATGGGAACAGTCATAGACAGCGTCCCAGTTACTGTTCGCCAGCACATCCTCCTCAACATCAAGGAAGATACCACCTATGATGATCTCAGGACATTCCTCACCACCTACGAGAATGCAAAGAGATGGACTCAGCCAACAACCACCGATCTGATCAACAGTGGGAAGGACCATGGTGGTCAAGCTGCCATGGACGTTTCCCAAGTCAAAGGATACTACAAAGGCAAAGGAAAATGGAAAGGAAAAGGTAAAGACCAAAACAAAGGAAAAGGCAAAGGAGGAGACAAAGGAGGCTGGTCCAAAGGAGGAAGAAAAGGCAACTGGAAAGGTGGAAGAGGAAGAGGAGGAAGGTTTGGAAAAGGAAGTTACAAAGGCGGAGGAAAAGGATACAGCTACAAAGGCAAAGGCAAAGGAAAGGACAACTACCACAAGGGCAACTCAGCACCAGGAGTTTGCAACTACTGCCAGAAATACGGCCACTACGAGGCGCAGTGCAGAAAGAAGCAGAGAGACATGGGCCAAGGCATCAGGAACGTCCAAGAAGATGAGCAGAGCGAAGCGCCAACTAGTGTCTCAACAGCAGCACCTACTACAAGCACCAGGACAGCTACCTCTTGGGCAACCACCTCCAGTACCAGGACACAACCCAAGGTACGCCAAGTCACTCCGTTCCACATTGGGGAAGAGCCAGAGCAAAATCAAGAAGGACCTCAAATCTATCCCATCGACAGCGAGGAAGAAACAAACTATGAGATGACTTATTTCAACAACATCATGATGGTGCAGATGGAGGTTCGTCTATATGAAGACAGCGAAGAAGAAGTGCAAGGAAGTCAAAGTTGGAAAGATGATCCTCTTTACCGCTGGTACAATACCGAGGAGCCAGCAGTTCTCTCAGTGAGGACTGTTAGGCAAGACAGTGCAACGAAGCCAAGGAACATTGAGGTTATCCTTGACTCTGGAGCAGATGTCTCCATTGCCCCAAGCTGGATGAAGAAGTATGGGAAGAAGATACAGGTCAAGAACGTACAACTTCGTGATGCACAAGGAAAATCCATTGCTGTACAGGAACACCGTCTCATCGATCTTGAGTTCAAGGACAAGGCTGGCAACAAAGTTCAAGTTTCGGAGGTGTTCATGATTGGCAATGTGATCAATCCTCTTTTGGCAATAGGAAAGATGATGAAGCAAGGACGGATGCCTCACCTTGGCGACAGTTCAAGAATGGCACTCGTGGATGGAGACAAGAGCACAGAGATCCCCATCTACCTCAGGAACAACTCTTTGGCCGCCAGCGCTTTTGTGCAAGCAGTCGTTGCAGTTCGTGAAGGACAGCTTGTACCAGTTCTTTTCAGTGACACTCTTCAACAACTGGAAAAGAGGCAGAGGCCAGGATGGTGCAATACTGAAGAAGGAAAGATCCACTACGGCATGAACAACTCCCACTTTGTGGATCCAACAATGACTTTATCATTTCATGAAAGCCTGTTCTACAGGACCACCTTCGTCAAGGAGAACAAAGAGAACAAAAAACGATGGATTTTGGTCGAGATCAACAGACCATATCAGGAAATGGAAGACCCATTCATGGAGCTTCCTTACAGCGAGACCGAGACCATTACAGTTTTTACCTCGCAGCCTGAAAGCCCTGTCAGGTTTTGCAAAGCAAAAGGAACAGATCACAATGTTGAGTTTGAGGTGTTCACTGACGACAAATGGGAAGTTTCAACTACAGGAGAAGAAGTCATTCGCCGCCACTATACTCAAAGGAAATTTCTCTTCAGCCCTACAGGAGTCCCTGGTTGTCCTACAGACCTCAGCAATTTCAATGGCACCAGGAGCACCTATGGTATTCATGAAGATACAGGAAGAAGTTTTGAGGATCACCTTTCTTTCAGAGAACAACCTGGAGCACAGGATAGGATGCCAATGCAGCCAAGTTTGCTTTGGACTGGTGAGACAAGGTTTCGTCTACGTGAACCAATACAACTACAAAGCAAGAAGCAGCAGACAGGAAAAGATGAAAGCATGGAAGTGGATGAGGAGACACAACCCTCAGGAGCACAAGCAGAGCCAAAAGCAGAGGCAGAGCAAGCAGAAGAGGAACCAGCAGCGCCAGCGGACCGCAGAGAAGTTGTGGAAGGACTCAGCTTTGTGCATGAAGGTTGGGAGTACAGCGTGGACACAACCCTCAAGGACTTGCGTGACTTGTGCAAGGAACTTGGTGTTTCTCAGAAAGGCACAAAGAAGGAAATTTTGAGGAGACTCAGCAAAGCTACAAGAGAAG